GGCTGTGACGGGAGACACAGCTGTTGTGTTGAGAGGCCGTGCTCCTGTGATGGGAGACACGGCTGTTGTGTTGAGAGGCCGGGAGGCTGTGACAGGAGACACGGCTGTTGTGTTGAGAGGCCAGGCTCCTGTGACAGGAGACACAGCTGTTGTGTTGAGAGGCCGGGAGGTTGTGACGGGAGACACGGCTGTCGTGTTGAGAGGCCGGGAGGTTGTGACAGGAGACACGGCTGTGGTGACAGGAGGCACGCTTGTTTCGTTGACCTGCTGTGCTGTCGTGGCAAGAGAAGGCACTGCTGTGACAAGAGGCACAGCTGTTGTGATGGGAGGCACAGTTTGTGTAGACACTGCAATAGGAAGAGGGAGACATTGTGTGCCATAGCCACCCCGAGATCTAGATAATATACTGCTGCACTCGCACTCTGGGAGGAAGCCTTTTGAACACTTACACTTTATATCAGGTGTTTGCTATTAAATCTTTCATTTCTTCACAACATGCAGACTCCGCAGACAGGGTGCTCCTGTCCTACACTGAACCTAAGATCTGTGATCTGCGGCCACTGTTCTGCCCACAATCCTGGAGATTGACAGCACAGGCAGGGGGTCCTCTTACCCGTGAGAGTCGCCGGGCCTGTCAGGCGTGGAGGGGTGGCTGTGCCAGCCAGGTCCCATTCCTCCTGTGGAGGAGTGAGCCGCGTGGCTGCTGCAGGGTGTCCCGGGGTGGCTGAGGCTGACGGTGCCTGACTCGGCTGAAGAGGTGCTGGCGGTGCTGGCGGTGCTGTTGCTGTAAGTGCCTGCACAGTCGCTGGGCCGGTCGACCAAGGGCGTGGCGCGAGAAGGAGGTGTGGTCTCTGCAGTCCTGCACAACAGACAGGGGACAGCTCTGCGTTATGTTAAGAAGTGGTTTGAAGGTGCCTTTCAGGCTTGCTGCCTCATTATTTCACCCGTTATTTACTGGGTGAGCCTCTGAAAGCAGAGATCCTGGCTTCTCCCGGAGCTCGGGGCCCAGACCAACAGCAGTGACCCTCAGTGTGACGGCCAGTATTAGGGTCCCCCCCCCCAAACCCCAGCTATTTCTGATGCCCTGCAAGGCAGAAGGCAGTCCCAGAAGCTGCTAGTCTACACTGTGTTTTCAGCAGCTCCTTTCCTGCGTGTTCTACACAAATCCACCGTCTCCATGTTTCATCAGCTACCTAATAACACGAGCATTTCTTGTGCCTCCTGCTCCACAGGAGTCAGTTTCCACAAAGGCACAGTCAGGGTGCTCTTCAGAGTCACACAG